CTCCCTCTCTCCCTCCCTCTGTGTGTGTGTGTGTGTCACTCAGGCGAAGGCGAGGCCCGAAGGGCCGAGCCGAGCCGAGCAGAGCCGAGCCGAGCCGAGCCGAGCAGAGCGAAACCTGCCTCGCCTGTGTCTTTCTAAGTGTGTGTGTGGGCCGTTGATGCGAAGGCGAGGCCCGAAGGGCCGAGCCTGTGTGTGTGTGTGTGTCTGTTGTCTGTGTGTGTGTCTGTTGTGTGTGTGTGTGTGTATCGTATGGACCCCCCCTTGCACCCCCACTCACCCCTGCACTCACTCGGTTGTCTCTCACTCTCTGTCTGTGTCCATGGCTTTTTTGCCAACTTGGCGATGCCCTGGATGGACGAGTATTGACTGGAGACCTTTACTGCAAGTTGTTCTGAGAACTGCCAACGCCCATCGGTTGGCCATTCGCCCTTTCCACCAAATTGCACCTCTCACCACTTCACCGCCCTCACCCCATCGATACCCCCCCTGCCGCATACCCACTTCTCACACACGCAAGGCCATCCCCTCAAACTCCCCACACACACAGCCCATCACACCAACATTATTTCCCCGGCCTCCCCCCCCCCCTGCAATGGGAAGAAGCCCTCAAAGCAGAGAGTCTAGGGTTTAGGGTGTGGGGTTTCTGCGAGCTTAGACGAACACGCACAGATCTCGGGTCGCAGAGAGGCTCACACACATATATACAGGGAGAGTGTCAAGGCGGCCAAGTGGTACCCATCTGGCATCTTCCATTTCTACAATGATCCGCCATCGATGTGCGGCGCTGCTTCCCCACCACCGAGGATCTGGCTCTTTCGTGAGGTGCACCACCACGCGCCTCTTGTCTTCCCGTTCTACCCCGCCCCGTGAGCCAACCGACAGCCCCGACTCCCCAGCATTACCCCAAACAGAAGAAGCAGCTTATGACTCATCCCTCCTCACCGATGCGGCACGGAAGAAGGCCCGGGTCAAGGCGCTCTTGCGGCAGTTCGACAGGCGCAACTGGGACGCGCGCAAGACCCTCATCGACCGGCGAGTGTATCCGCCGTCGGCTGAGGTGCCCAAGTGGCAGTCGGACGACGCTGCGGCGATGCAGATAGGGCCGGAGCTGCAGGGCCGTGACCGTCGGCTGGTGGAGAGGCGTGTGGTGGACAGGCGTGAGCAGGAGGAAAGGGAGCGGGGCGTCAAGAAGCGGGAGAAGGGGAAGCCAGCTTATGCGCGGCGGAAACCCGTCAAGGTGCGTTTGGGCGAAAGATAGACAGACCGACACATAGCCAACCATTGCCTGTGCTTGCTCTCCGTGTGTGTGTGTGTGTGTGTGTGTGTGTTTGTTTGTATGCAGTACAAACGCTTTCAGCTGATGGGCGCAGAGGAGCAGCCAGCCGAGTAAGTCGGCAAGACAGCCAACAGCCGTCGGCCGCCGTCACACAAACGTTTGTTTGTCTGTGTGGGTGTAACTCACTCTCAGGTCAGAGGCCTTCTCTGACCGCGTCGCCCTGCAGACGCTCTGTGAGGACCGGCAGAAGGCGGAACTCTACGAGCACATCACAAAACGGCTCAAGAACCAGTGGAAGACGCCGGTATGTCAATCCAGTCACTGTGCACTCTAATGATGTGCTGTCATGTCGGTTCATCCCTTCCTTTAGAGTGCGCCGACCGACCAGTTCTTCGACGTCATGTCCAATGCAGTGAGGGACGACCTAATGGATCAAAGGTCAGCCCTGGAGATGCGTCCGTCGATGGCTAAAGGCGGAAGTGTATTGTGTGTCATTGCAGCCGTCCGAAGCTGGTCAACGTGCTGGCTGACTACGACAACCCCTACATGATGAAGCGGGCGGTGCTCCAACGCATCCTCTACGACCACTGCACGCGCAACAAACTCGACGAGGAACAGGCATGCACCGCACCGCACAAACCACACGCCACACACCACACACAAATGTCTGCGGCACGGCCGTATGTCTACCTCAACGGATGGATTGTCGCTGTGTGTGTGTGCAGGTGGAGAATTATCTGGACAAGTATCGGCCAGACCTGACCAAACTGCGGCTGGAGGTAATCCACACACCCACAGAGAGATGTCAGTCAGCCATGCACGCAAAGAGAGAGGGAGTGTTGTCTCCGTCTTGTCCTCCAGGCAAAGATGCCGCCCGAGGTGATTGAGCCGTTGATGGCCTTCCGCGGCGATGTGCGGTACCACTACGACAGCCGTGAGAGGCTGCAGCAGAAGCTGCACGCCATCGGGGCCATCATCAACGAGCTGCACGTCAAGAGAGAGAACGGTGGGCGAGTAAGTGGGTCGGTGGGTGGATGAGGCCAGCCAATGCACGAACATGCATGTGGGAGCTAATGTGTGCGCAGGTGAGAAGGTTGACGTGGATGAAGTCCTGAGCATTTTGCCGGAGAACCAGCCCACAGAAGAGTGAGGAGACAGAAATATCAACACAAGGAAAAGGTCCCCTTACTGTCTTTGTGTGTGTGTGTGTTGTGCTGTCCATCCACTCATCACTCCCTCCGCTCGTCAGGGCCCACCCCCTGCACCCCTTCCGCAACCATTTCGGGTTCGAGAGTGCCGTCCCCCATGGTGTCACGGGCGGCATCACCATGGGCAAACCGAGGAAACCGCTCGAAGAAGAACTCGCCAAAATACGGTGCATGGGTCGGTGGGTGGATGGCTCATAGACGGACGGACGCTCGAGTGTGTGTATGGTCTGTGTGTGTGTGTGCAGGTACCCGACTCTCCAGCGCTTCGCGCACTCTCTGCCTAAGGACTGGAAGTGTAAGCGAGATGATAGAACGGGCCAGCTGCACTAACAGGTGCACATCGTCCTTTGCTCCCTTCCGTGTCCGTCCGTTAGATCGGGCCAATGTGGTGCACACGATCCGCATCCTCGAGCGATCGCGCGGCTGGGACTTCGCCAGCAAAATACGGGTGAGTGAGAGACCACCGCCCACCACAGCAGCTGTCTGCACGCTGATTGGCATCTATCTCTTTATGTCTCCCTCCCTCCCTCTCCATGTGTGTGAATCATGTGACTGTGGTTAGGCCATCAATGCCATGAAGGAGGTCTGGGATAACATCGGCCCCAGCCACTACTACTGGGCGCTGCTCAACAGGGCGCTCCCAGTGGAGAGGTATTGTTGATGGATGCGCGTGTCGTCGTGTGACGCATATTGCCGTGTGCGTGTCTCTCTGTGTGTGTGTGTGTGTGTGTGTGCAGGCATCCGTTGAACACGAAGCGGAGCAAGCCCCGCATCGCTGCGTTCGGTCGGCTGACGTACATCCGCTCGCTCACCACACAGAACCCCCTGCACGTCAGACAGCAAGCCAAGAAGAAGAAGTGAATGAACTGAAGCGACGGGTGGATGGCTCCTCTCCTCTCCGTGGGTGTCATATATGTGCATCTGTGCGTTAGTGTACAAGGAAGGCGTGCAGTGGCAGCTGGTTTGTCGGTCAGTCAGTCACCCATTCTGTCTGTTTGATTGGTTCGTCGCTGTGCGGACACACGCAGACCGACCCGATAGATAGGCAGACAGGCAGGCAGGCCTGGAAAAGACTCAGGTGAGCATGCCAATATCCATGTGTCCACATCATGTCTATTATCGATTATGGAGAAGCTGTGTCCATATCTACGGGAGATAAACCGCATGGACGCACACACACATTGCTGACAAGACAGTACACAGACAGACAGCACGAACAATAGATAGAGACAAAGAAGAAGCTTGAGGACCCCGACTGGTCACTCTCTCACAAATACTTAATGTCTTCCAAGCCATTGTGGTCAGGCAGACAGACAGACAGACAGGCAGGCAGGCATGACGCAGCACGTTGATTAGGTCATTGAGGCCTTCAGCAAACTTAGCTGACAGAAACAACTCCAGCTACTTCTATAAACCCCTTCCCACTCGCCCACTCACTCACTCACTCACGCACATACCTCAGCAGGGGTCCGTTTTGGCCTCACTGGATCGGAAACTATGCCTACCTCATCCACGCCCACACCACAATAACTGAGCTCTCCAAAAAGGACAACACACTGCTATAAACACACGTCGATATCTATGAACAGCCAGCCCTTAGTCGTGCAAACGATTCGCGAGACACACTCATACAGGTACAACGAACACACAACGGAGTACTCCCCCCCTATCTACCACACTTTGCACTGCTCGTCCCTGGCCGGCAGATTGACGGCCGAGTCCGGCGGGCAGTTGAAGGCCTTCGAGTACTCAGCCAGATTGGAGACCGGCCCCAGCGCCCGCACTGCTGCAGCCGCGTGATAGTCCCTCTCGACGCGCTTCTTCCTCTCTTCGGGCCGCGTCTCGTGGCATGCCCAAACCTGTGTCCAGCCCAGGAAGAACAGCTGTCCGACAGTGAGGTCGTGTCCGTATTCCTCCAGCGGCTTGATCTGCAGCTGCTCTTCGGTCAGCTCCTTGAGTAGCGCCTTGTAGCCGAGATAGATCCCTCCTAAGTCAGCCGTGTTCTCCGTCACGGTGAGCAAGCCATCTACTTTGATGTCCTCTTGCAGGTCATCGAGCTCCCCCTTTTCGACGGCCACATACTCGGAGAACTGTGCGACGACACAGTCAGTCTTGGCTTCGAACTCAGTCTGCATTCACGTAGGCGAGAGAGGGAGACAGAGAGAGTGAGTACACGACGAATTATACATGACGTCGCTTACTTACCCGAGAGACATCGCTCCACCAATTGAACAGCAGGCCGTCGGGATTGTACTCGCGGCCTCTTGTGTCGAACCCTGTCAAACGGCCATGCGAAGCAGAGGGACAGTTGGATGGGCGGCATCAATCGTCAGTTGCCTGTATGCTCACGTACCGTGGATTAGTTCGTGACCCATCACAGCCCCGATGCCACCATGGTTGATCGCCTGCCGAGACATTGACACATCCACACAAAGACAAAGACTTCAATAGAGGGAGAGAGAGAGACACGCTTGTTTGGTCGTCTGACCGTCTTCGCGAGAATGGCGTTCTCAGAGTCATCACTCTCGTTGAATGGGTAGAACACAGGCGCTTGCAATATGCCGGCAAGAAAGGTCCTGCGATGCCCAGGACATGCAGAATACACGCATGATAATGCACGCACGCCAATCTTCACCTCGTCCCACTCACATGGTGTTCCAATCAGCAACGTAGAAGGCATTCGTGTCAATGGGCGAGCGATACCAGCCGATGACTTCACGATCGAATGGCTTCCCGAAGAAACTCACAGAGTATCGTTGCTGACAAGTAAGCAAGGCGGAGAGGTTTGAAGCGCGCAAGTGTGAAGCATTGGTCGCTCCCTCGCATACCGTCTGTTCCTGGACGTATAGAGTTGCATCGAAAAGATGAGCATCCAGCTCAGCGGCCGCCGTCTCAGGACCGTAGATCTTCTCGAAGTTGACGCGATATTCTTCGTCGGTGAGGATCCATGCGGGATTGGCGATCTGGTAAGTGACCTTCTCGATACACCCAGACAGAAAGACCCGCACACATACATGGGTGGACGGATGTGTTGCAGACCTTCTCGAGCTTCTCGTACGCAACGTCCCTGGATGAGCAACCCACCATGCCAGCAGAGCTTCCGTGCGCTTCGGCATGCACTCAATGCACTCACTTGGTCTCATTGGTCATCCATTGGATCTCGTCCAGCACATCGCGAAAGGCAGCTTTCACGTTGGCGACCATGGCGTCCGCCACCGCTTTCAGGTTCGGGTCGAACTCCTCCAGGACAACACGAGCGACGATCTGAGAAAAAGGACAGCGCAAAGATCTCTTGTTCTCCCTTTCCGTCGCTGATTTGCTGTTCACATTGTCTGACCCATTTCAGTGTGCTTCTTGCCATACCCTGACATTCATCCCATCTCTCCCTGGGCTCGGCATTCTTGACGTTCCGGTTGAAGTCGTATGACAATTCCAACCACTCACGGCTCAACAAGGCACCCATTCTGAAAGACAGACCACATATGCACGAGAAAGGGCACAGGCAATCCCGTAATGGTGTGTGCCATTATTGAGCTTTTGCTCTTACCCGGAAAATAGTTGCCCTTGGAGGTATGCCAGGATTGCCTTGTCGTCCCACACTTCTGTGAGGAGCTTATTAAGCTCGCGGAAGTAGGTCTCGTTGTGGATGATGACCTCGGTCTCGTTTGTCATTGCCGGCAAGCCGAGTGCATCACCTGAAGGAAGGATGGAAGCATCACAACGAACATTCTATCTCATGCAGTACCATTGGCCGCGTGCTTTCGTGCTTCCATACCGAATGTCTTGAAGAATGTGTCCCAGTCGAATGTAGGCATCAGGTCCTTGAGGTCAGCAAAGGTCATCAGATTCGTTGTCGCAACAGGATCCTTTATCTCTGTTGGGCTGAGAGAGATGTTCTGCAGGTCTTTCTCAATGTCCAGTGTCTCCTCAGCAGCGGCAGGTGGTTCCAGGAAAGCCCGGCGGGAGCCTTTGAGGGACGGCGGACTGCCGGTAGCAACGGCGCTTTGGAAGAGCTCCTGGCTTCCAGAGAGATAATCCAAGTAAGCCTGAAGCACTTTCTCCTCGTCGTACTGGCCATAGTCCAGGACAAGGCCGCCTTGGCTGATCGCAATCCCAACTTTGTCTTCTTCCACAAGGGGGTTCTCGTCGAGGTAAACAGAGAAGAACGGCGAAAAGGGGTGAATGTGCATGCGAGCCAGGATCTCAGCCATCACTTTGCCTTTCTCTGCATACCATACACACGGGAAACAAAGCAGACAGACGTAGGCGTGTCGTGTGTGATGTGTGTTCCCACACCTTTGTACACGTGCATCGGCTGACTGACCAGCTGGTGTCATCGTTTCCCATCCACCGATGTCTGTCTCCAGTAGAAATGGCAGCTCTCTTTCCATGAAGGACAGCAGAGGCTGGCTGCCCAGCTCATCCAAGCGGTCCTGATCCATGCACGCCTGAATGACAGACAACGTATGCAGCAGCCGACATGAGCGCGTGTGTGATCGCGCGTGTGTTTCGTCACCTGGTAGTAGCAAAACAGCAGTTCCTCCCATCCGTCTGCCGGTTCTTTCTTCTCCTCTTGATTGGGCAGCTGAGAGCACTTGCCACCATCCAGGACGTCACGGATCAAATGCCTGTTGGACAGAAGCAGACGCGGGCAGACACGTGGATGGCCCGTGTGTTCTGATCTGTCAAGTGGTGTGCACGCAGTTGGTTGACTTTGTTGTGTTGTCGAGCCCATGGAACGCTCTCAGCCATCTTGACTCCTCTTTGGGCAGCTCAAAGGCTTCCCGCCACTTGCCGCACGAGTACTCTACCACATCCTGCATGGACCGACAGACACATCTCAACACAGGCTCAGATCTGTGCAGAAGAGGTCTGCGTACGGTGCATGGGTCGGCTGTTTGGTTGAGGACATCCGCTACAGTCTCAATCAAGGTTTCAATGGGCGCGGCCTGTACGGAGATGACAACACACCTATTTTCGTCCACAAAAGCACTCCTGATCCTCACCTGGCTGACGCCGAAGAGAAAGACGGCGCAAAGGCACAGCAGCAGCCGCTGAAGCATCATCACCATCGGTGGCTTCAGTCGTGTTGGCCTGGCGCAGACGCCTGTGCGATGGCGCTGAACAGCCTTGCTTGCCGCAGCTGTCGCTATGCTTGCACGGTGAAGACGTTCGCGTCCGCACGTCGAAGTGACCGTGAAACGGTCCAATTTCCCAGTCAAGCTCGCACCGGCGCTTCTCTCATTCAATTTCCTTTCCCCGCAGCCTCCTCCCCAGACGACAACAATGAATGGACGTCCCTCATCCCAGAAGATCGTCATAGCTGTGTTGGCCGACAAGGACAAGAATCCCTCGGCAGCCGCCCTCCCCCTCGTCCGCACCCTTGAGAGCAAGGCCGACATCCTGCTCGGGAACACGCTCGCCGAGTTCACCGCCTACCCCAATCTGAGCGAGGCCGAGGCGCTCGTGTGGGTGCCGCCAGGTGATGCCAAGATCCTCCCTGATCTGTGGCCGCTGCTGCCCAAGGTGCGGTGGGTGCACTCGTGGTTCGCCGGCCTGGAGCCCCTGCATCCCTTCATCAAGCAGTTTTTGCTGAACCGGCCCGACATCCCCGTGACCAACGCCAAGGGGGCCTTCAGCCGGTCGCTGGCCGAGTACTCGATGGCTGCGGCGCTGCATTTCGAGAAGCAGGTGCCGCGGATCATGGCCAACACCAAGTCGCGGCACTGGGACAAGTTCATCATGCACGAGCTGCACGGCAAGAGCATGGGCTTCGTGGGCTTCGGTGACATCGGCAAGGCCACCGCCAAGATCGCCAAACACGCCTTCGGCATGAGGATACTGGCACTCAGGCGCTCCAAGAACAAGGGCGCTGACGATTTGGCCGACGAGGTCTTCTCGCCAGAAATCGAGGAGGAAAAGATGGAGGTCAGCCAGACTGCACATACACAGATGGATTGGACACATATGCAATCGATTCACGCTTTCGTTCATGACTGTGTGCATGTGATGTGCGTTCTGTGCAGGTGTTCCGTCGTTCGGACTATGTCGTGTGCTCGCTGCCCGGGACGCCAGACACATTCAACTTCTGTGGCGCCAAGGAGTTCGCCGCCATGAAGCCAACTGCCGTCTTCATCTCAATCGGTCAGAGCACACCCAGACACAGACATAGACACAGACACAGACACAGACACAGACACACGCACGGCCATCCTGTACGTGTTGTGGATGGATGGATGGATGGATGGGTGCAGGTCGTGGCACAGTGGTTGACGAGGACGCATTGATCGACGTGCTGAAGCGCGGCGCCATCAGGGGCGCGGCGCTTGACGTGTTCCACGTGGAGCCGCTGCCGGAGAGCTCCGGGCTGTGGGGGCTGGACAACGTGCTCATCACGGCCCACAACGCCGACTGGACGCCCGACTACAGCGAGTGTGCCCTGCACGTCATGGAGGGCAACCTGGACCGATTCCTGGCGGGCGAGAAGGAGATGCTGACGCCCATCGACAAGGCCGCCGGATACTGAGACAGGCAAGACGGAGAGAGAGGGAGGGAGCGATGCGAATTTTTCACTTCCTCCTCTCGGTCGATTGATTGTGAGTATTCTGATTGTTGTATGTGTACGATACTGACTGATATGAGTGTGGGGTGAGATGCGTGTGTGTCTTAACGTTGAGGCGGCTGAGTTTTTCCCACTGACTTGACCCCGTTGCGATTTTGCTCGTGTGCATGCGATGGAATGGAGAGGGGTGTCGGTCGGTCATGTCGGGTGTCATCACAATGACCGGTGATGTGAGGCGGTTTTGCTTTGTCGTATGCGTGTGAAGACGACCTCCGTGCATATTTCCTGCTGTCTCACGACGCACGACAGAGCACCGCAGCCACGCCGAGTTAGCTTATCGACTTGTGCGAGCAAATGGAATGGACTTGCCCATGCATTCAAATCAAAAATGAATGGCCATGCAGCTAAGAGTAGCAAAGGGACAGCCACCTTATGGATGGGCCCCTTTCAATTATGCATTGAGAGCACTGGTCTTTTCACGTCGCCACCACCAAGCCAATGGAGGTGTTTCGGGCCTGAAGTAGATGCTGACGCAAGGAGGGTGCGGAACACGATTGTGTCGAGGGGTAGAGGCTGAAGCCCACCGCTCCCCCATGGAAAGAATCCTCAGAATCTGAGCCTGGCCCGGAGTGTTTTACGGGGGCAAGAGTGCTCTGCGGCTGACGAAACGGATAGATCAAGTAATTTGATGCTGGAGAGAGCTCACTGATGCTTCCATGCACCAGAAGTTTACTGAACAGATGGCTTTGCACTGCATGATCCTGTCTCTCTTTCCGTCTCCTCCTCAGGGACGTATCGGAAATTGATGATGAATCGACGGTTTCTCGTCCTCCTGCACCTCACTTTCACCGCAGTGAAGGCCAATGGCGAATTATCAAGGCAACCACACAGCCAGCAAGCCATGAACCAGACTGTTACTTCAAGATTACGTTTGCAGGGTCAGGGTGGACTCTGAGCACAACCGAGCCAATGCGACATCTGATTCCGCCTCATCCGCAATCTTCGACGCCCTCTCTATCGTCGCACCATGGGACCAGGAGGTCACGCTGGCCTCACTGCTGTTGACAAAACCCCTCAAGGGCCTTGCTGTGTCTCGCCATGCGGCGATTGGAAGCTACTGTTGGATTCGTGTGTCGCCCCGCGATGCCAAGACGACGCTGCAGCTCCAAGGGCCCAAGGACATTGTCACGCCCGACCTGGTGCCCTCATTCACTGATGGTCAGTCACTCACAAGTGAGACGGGCAACAGGAGAGGAGTGTGCCCGTCTGTGCAGGTGAGAAGGAGCGTCTGTTGACGGGTCAGGTGGTCGACAAGACGGCTGACAACGGCCAGCATTATCGCGTTATCCCGCCGCCAGTCAGCCTGTGGCAATGCACAGTCAGGCGAATAAAGCCCGACACACTATACAGTGAGGCAAACGGAGATCAGGGAGAGAGGAAGGCCTGAGACACACAAGAGGCCGCTCTGTGCATGCAGGTGTCTGAGTGGCACAGAGCAGCCGACTTGCCGCTGTTCACGTTGCCGAACGGCACTCAGGTGTGGGTGTCTCCCATCCATGCTGGGCTGGTGCCGTCGAAAGCGGGCGGCCTCTCGTGTGCGGTGGACTTGAGGATCCCCGACACCCTTACAGACCTCTTCTATGACAATGTTGATAGAATACAGGTGTGTACACACACGAGGGGATGGATGCAGTACGTGTGTGGGTCTTGTGGGTGTGGTGGGCAGATGTTGAAGTATCAGAAGCTGGTGTCTCTTGAAGATAGCGTTCGGCATTTGGAGGGCCCGGCGGCCGTGAAGGAGACCCTCACACACGTGATTGTCAAGGCGCACACGGAATGCCCTCGGTAGTAGTTGTGTGTGCACATGTCTGTATGTATGTGTGTGTGTAGTGTGCGTGACAGGATGCGTGTACCCGTACTCGTGGATGCGTATATGTGCTGGGGCTGTCACTGGGGGTGCGCGAATGAAATGAATGGACAGTTGCGATCCCGCGATATCATAATCATGATTAGATAGATACACCAATAATTAAATTCATGGATATGTATGTGAGTCAGAGACAAAAAAAGGTCAGACACATCGTCCGTCCGATCTCCTAGAGATTCTCATCACAGGATGTCACAAATCCATTCAATCATGGCGGTGGGCCAATGACATCATTCTCGAGCCCGAGTCGCCTCAGCAGCTGCCGCACACGAGCGACCGTGATAGGGAACCGCTCGTCGATCGTAACCCAACCGGCCACCTCCGCCTCGGTCGTCCTGACCACAATACGCCTGTGGATGACAGACACGGCGGCCACCACAGACCCACCATTCAGCAACAGCACCATCACGCACACGGCAGCATAGCCAAGTGATTTCGGCCCTTGCCCCACATGGCCTCGCACCACGTTATGACGGACAGGTCGGGTTCACGGGTGGAGAATTCAGTCGGCAGAGTCCCATCGGGTTCCGGTTCCCAACACGGACAGCGCCGCCGCACCGTAACGTCAAGAGCGACCCTCATGCGGGAACGAACATCGTGCATCTGCAGCAGCGAGTCGAGGGTAAAGCCGCTGAAGGAGCGATACACGCAATAATCATTGGGCGTGCTGATGGGTCGGTCAGTGTGGCGATTGGGCCGAACGAATGGGACGAGCTGCCACAGCTCGTCACGCTCGATGATGCGGAATCGCCTTTCGCCGAGATCATACCACTGCACCACCCTCCTCCTCTTGTGCAGCCAGAATGCGAGCAACCATCCGCAAAGTTCCGCCACAGGGTAGAAGAGCGTAACGAACACAGCAGCAGCCCCCCAGGCAGCGAGGCAGCGCACGATGAACCAGACACCATGCGGGCCGTTGCGCGTGTCAGGAAGAAGAAACAGCGGGATGCTCAGGACGATCCAGCCATACGCCAGCAGGTAGAGGGCGAAAATGGCCGCAGACATGTCTCCAACTAGCAGACGGGAAGGCACGAAACAGACGTCAGTCTCACATCTGCCGCCCTCCCTGAGCTCCAGCTGGCCAATGCCCAACAGACCAAATATCTTGTAGACGGCCACGGCAGCGGGCAGCCGATGGAAGCTGGCCTTGTCGGGAAGGTGAGCCGCCACTCTCTCAGCCGAGAGTACCAGGGGCAGTGGGCGACCCACACCGCAGACACCTGCCACCTTGATAAATGCGGCCATCATCCGCCACTCAGCCGCCTGCTCGATGACGTACGCACAGCGAGCGAGATACCCAAATCGCGAGAGGGATGGTGGGAGGGGACGGAACCAGGGGTCGACGCCGCGGTCCCTCTCCACAACAATGAGGCCGGTGAGCTGCTGCTGGGCGAGGGAGCTGCTGATGCGACGAAGTAGAAACTCCTCATTGATCAGCCGAGTGCCGTAAGCCTTGCCGACCGCCCGGAGCCGCACGGCATCGTCAACGGGCAGAAAGGGGATGACCACACGGGCAAAGACGTCAGCAGGGAGCCCTTGATCAGCGCTTTCTTGAGCCGTGACCACCGACAGTGGCCGAGTGATAGAGTCATCCTGCTGGCTATCGGAAACTCGTCGGTAGAAGAAGCGAGACGTCCACCACTGGAGCAGCCAACGCATCACTGCAAGCCGCCTGTGGGGATCGCACGCCACTGCAGAAAAGGAAACACACAAACAAACAGGGGAGTCGCAGAGCAGAGAGCGACTTCCTCTACTCGCACGCACACACCTCACGGGTCGATGAAGAAGCGAGAGGCGTTTGCCCACGCCCTGCAGCGTTTCTGCCATGATGGCAGCTGAGCGGCTGAATGAAGAAATGCACAGAGAATGAATGAGTATTCACGCGTGTCGCAGCATGTCATGCTGGCTGCTCGCCTTCTGGGGGTGACGGTCCTCAGCGAGGGACAGGAAAGCAAAATCTTCACTTCTGTCATATGCCAGCTGGCCAATGCGCCGGGGCTCACACAGACCTCCATCAGTCCTCCATCGCAGCTGTGTCTGACACCACGCAAACGGCGACCGCATGTTTTGGAAGATCCGACCATGGATGGCCTTCACAGCTGCTTTGCTTCCCTTTTCTGACCCATTCTCACCTTCATCGCCATCCTCCGCCCGTCAATAAGCTCGCAACAGAGAGGGAAAGGAGCAAAGCAAAGGGCAGAACGCGGCTCTATTGTGTGTTTTCTTCTTCACTTGATTCATCTCAATGGATACCTCCATGGAGCGAACCATCATGGTTTGTTTCGCCGACGATGGCGAGGCAGATGAGCCTCTTAGAATTGCGGAGGGAATTGCTCAACAGTTCAAGTACTTGCAGAAGGTCAGGAACGAAGGACGCACACATAAAAGGTGAAAGAATGACAGATGATTCATTGGCTGCTCTTCGCTCCTGTCGTGTTTGTGCTTCAAACAACAGGTGTTGGATGGGCCAGGCGAGTTCCGGGAAGCGCAGCAGGGCGAGGTCCGCATCAAGGAGGTCACTCGGGCCATCGATGTGGTGGTGCTGCAGCATGAGCTGGACATAGTAGATTCGCTGACCAAGGACAACCTGCTGGACGCCATGATCGCACTCGACTACCTGCAGTTCGACACCGACCAGGCCACCACAGCCAGCAGCGTACTGTGGCGTCTGCATCGACGGGTGGGCGAGAGGATGAAGACAGGCCGTAGGCTCTCATCCTATGTGTCTGGGTTCTGCATGTCATGTGTCAGATGGTGTTGGAGAACTGGCTGGATGACCAGCGCCTGGCCAGCAGCCTGCTCGACAGCTTCGCCCGATATGGGCTCATTGCGCTCTTCATCCACCAGCACAAAGACATCTGCGAGCGTCTGCTGCCGTGTGTGCGCGAGAAGCCTGATATCGTCCGTGATCACTGGCGCGCCTGTCTGCGCGGAGGGGACGGGGCGGACTCGCCCGCGGCCAAGGCAGCCGTGAGCCTGCTGGCCAGCCTGGCAGAGGCGCTGTCGTATGATGAGATCGATATAGGTCGAGAGGAGCTGGGCAACTTCATCACCAATTCCACCGGGTCTCGATCGATCGCTGCTGCTCACGGTACGCCTTGCAAGCAGGGATGTCCAAATGCATTCATTGGTGAAGCTTACCGCTGCCTCTTTTCCCTTTGGCCGCAGGTGCTGCTTTCGAGAAAGACGTCTTCGCCCATGCAGTCTCCGGCACCATCCACCCGTTCACCGTCAACAGTCCCGAGATCTTCACCAACGACTGCGCCGCCTATGTTGCTGGGCTGCCTCGCTTCGTCCCCCCTTACCCCTCCTCCCCTCCCATCGACGCCATCAAAGACGGCGAGACGAAGCTGAGCGACATCGCGGGCTGGCACGTGGTGGTCCACAGGCTCAACAATCGCGACGAGGGAGAGGCCTACGTGACCTGCTATGGTGTCGACGGCTCACTAGATGTCCTCCGTGGTGACTCTACTGCCATTCGGCTCCACAGGCCCCCTTCTCTCTTCACCGAGCGGATCCGGATGGGCAACGACGAGTCAGAGCCCTCAGTCGGGGACTCCTGCGTAAAGCTGCTCGCGGGAGAGACCTGCCTGCACATGAACCAGGCCAACATCTCGGCTGATGCACTATCGCGGCAGGGGGTGGGAGGGGCGCGACTCAAGGACGTCCGCTTGAACTTGACAGTCAAGCATTTCCCGATGCGCGTCCTCGCCCTGCACTACCTCCGACTCTGCGCCAAGGACGGGTGCTGGGACGAAGTCACCAACATGGCCCGGTGAGTGAGGGAGAAGGGAAGATGTGCTCGTGTGCATGTGCATGGCTGACTGGCTGATGCGTGTGGTGTGTGGATGCAGGTCGATCCATCGTGAGGTTGCTGCGTCGATGTTCTCGTTTATGGTCGCGGCGCAGCATCATCGACTTGCCCTCATGCTGCACTGGGCGGCAGCCGTGAAGAGGCTCGCGCAGCTCAAGGCCGACATCATCATATCCCAACTGCAGGGGGATGACGCCGACGACACCGACGACACCGACTTCATGCGGGAGAACCTGAGGGACGTGCCTGCTGTGCTTCCCATCCTTCCCATCCTTCCCATCCTTCCCTCAGCGGTGCGAACGGAATTCATGGCCGCCCTCAAGGAGGCACTCGAACCGCAGAATGAGGATGCCTTCACCGAGCTGTGCAGCGCATTCATCGAGCGAGAAACCACAAGGAGCAACAAGGTCAGCCACACTTTTCTCCCTTTGATCGGCAGGTCCACTTCTCATGCCTTCCTGTGTGTCTGTTCGTGGCTCAGGAGTCGGCCGACCGGCGGCGGTTGGAGGCCGAGAACGAACGCCTTCGGCAGGAGATAGACGTCCTCAAGGAGCAGGTAGGTCATGCAGTCAGTGGCACTCATGGCCTGATGACACATACACCCATTGCTGTGTGTCTGTGTCTGTCACTCAGGTGCGTCGCGGGACGAAGCGGCCGAGAGGGGAGATGGAGGGCCACCAGCAGGAGGGAGAGGGCTGAGCCGGCCAGAAAGAGAAGACGTCGGCAGAGGAGGACATGAGGATGACGACATGAGGGGATGGATGGACTAGTGAGAGGTGGTCGTGTGGTGATGGTCTTGGTCAAGCCTATGCTCAGACGACCACCAAAGGTGTTCGGGTGGCTGTATGCTGGCTGCATGTCATGTCTGGAGTCAGAGAGTGGGTGGTTTTGACGTTCCAGCTTACTCAGCTCTGACTGTTGGGCAGACAGACAGACAGACAGACGATGCTACGCGGACTGCACGTCTGCTCGTTAGTATTACCTTTTCGGCAGAGAGAGTTGTACAGAGCCATCTATCTCTTTTGCCGCTGGTCGGTCGCACACCAAACGACCTACCAGCTTTGACCAGACGGACCCTCATGTGTGATGCATGATCACTTGAATGAATGATGCGTTCACTTGATTGTCGGTCGGCATTGATTGAAGTCACACGTCCGTTCAGTTCACTTCTTGCTGGTAGCGTAGCGTAGCAAACGAGCGTGTCTGTCTTACGAAAAAATGTCGCTGGCATATGTACACTCCGGTCTCCGATCAGCCCCTCCATCCACCGTAAGACGCATGGCTGGCATGTGTTCCTCCCTCCTTGCTGTACAGCGTCCCCTCCCACACACCCTTCCAGACTCTGTGCGCCATCAAACCGCTCTGCCTATGCAGCCATCCATCCGTCCATCCATCCATCCATCCATCTACGCCCCAGCAGCAGCATACACCATGTCCGTCGGCTCCTTCTGTGCCCTTTCATCCCTGTTGTGCTGCCCCAGTACTAGGTCCACCCCCATGACGTGCGCGAGCTCCTCTCTCGGCTCGTTCCAGGTGTCCGCCAGCTGCACGCCCTCTTCTTTGGCGAGACACATGAGGGCCTCGTGGAACCGCTCCCGCCAGCAGTACCGCCGGCCGTTGATCGTCTGGCAGACCACCTCGCACCCACAGCACTTTGGGGACAGATCGTACAGGGGCTCGGGCGGGTCAGTCGACTCTGTACACTCGCACTCGACGCCCCCAAAGTGCCACGGCTGCACACACACACACACACACACACACAGAGAGAGAGAGAGAGATGCACATATGCGCGCGTGTGTGCCCGTGTTGCGGCCGTCAATGGCTCTCTGACTGACCAGGGAGTTGATGAGCACGTGGCCGCCGGGCGCTAATAGGTCCCTCACATTGGCCCAGAATGCCCGGTTGGGCGAGAAGACACACTGATAGTGCCCGTCGGTGTCATGGCCGCACCCGCAATGGGGGGGCGCCACTCGCGGCCGTCGCAAAAGGAAGTCAATCATTCTGGGCCGCGGACACTCGCCATAGCCGTCATCGACGTCACTGTCGAACGGCATCCCCCTGTGGCTGTTCTCGGCCAGGCGCATAATGTCCTCATAGAAGAAGAGCGTCTGGGGGCAGTCCACGAAGTAGATCTTCTCAAAGTGCCGTGTGGGCATCCCCAGGTGTGTCTGGGCCAGCAAGAGGTGCTTGCGGTCGCTGATGTCGAACTGCCACCAGGCAGGCACGTCCCGCGGGCCGTGTTTGGGCGACGTGGTCACTCTGGTCTTGCGAACGTTGGTGTATGACGCCTGCAGCAGCCGGCCGCTATAGTGCTGGAAGGTCAGCTTGGCGTCGCTCAGCTGATGATAAGCATCGTTACCACTGTCGACAGCAGCCATCTTTTTCTCCTTGACGAGGCGCCAGCTGGCGAGCCGTCTCGGAAAGTCGGTTGCCGGTGCGGTGAACTGCGGCCAGTCGACGTAGGCGACCTTCTGCCGATAACACTCCTCGGTGACGTCCGGTGTCGGGTAGGGAAGGTGGTCGAACGGAGCTGTAGGCACACAGCAGAAGATCCGGACGCACTCGTGGACGGTGTTCAAGGGATGAATCATTCATCCCCTGCTTGCTTTTGCTTACTGTGGCAGACGAGAAGGATCTTGGGCACAGCCTCACCACCCTCAGACCCTTCCGAGTGCTTGTCCTTTCCGTCGGGGTGCTTCTGTGCCTCCCGCTGCTCGGCGTAGGCGAGAGCCGCCACACAGCAGATGGTGATGGCCACGATGGGCTGCCAGAAGGGCCGTAGACACGATGAGGCTATTCTTCTCATCACTTCAGTTTATCCCCTCCTTCAACGACGAGCAATTTCACGCAACCCTAACGCGCCGCGAGCTGGAGCGGAGAAGTAAGAGAAGTGTGCGCATGCCTTCTTCCGCGATGAGTGGAGACCACAGTGGTTTCCATGATCTCGTCGGTTTGCCCGAGGACGTCGCCGCAGAGCTGAAAACTTTCCTTCCGGCCGCCAGCTGCGGCACCCTCCGAGCGACCTCCAAGAGCATTGGCTGTGAGTTCATCAGTGAGGACTATCTGACCGACCGCCTCGACGGATCCATCCGCGAGAGGGGCCTGGACAGCGTGGTGGCTGTCAAGAAGCGGCACAAGACGACGCTGCTTTATCTGAAGGCGTGCTGCACCGCCACTCTTGGTCCACTCGGTCTGCTCGATGGGGATCTGTGGGCATTTGTCGCATATTGGGTGGTCTTCGTCGCCTCTTGGTATCTGCCGATGGTTCCTACTGCCTTGATGGTCCGCTGGATTCTCGGCCACATGTTTCCGCGGGGAGAACCATTTACTTCGTGGATCCTGTTCTCAACCGCCGTGGGGACGTTCGCCGTGTGCGTCTGCACGATTTGGCTACCGGGAATCGCCCTCATCTGGGGCGTCTTGCTTTTTGCCGAATGGTCGGGATGGCTGGGCAAGTTTGCCTTCATAAGGCGGTTCAAGACCAAGGAGGGAGAAATCGAGAAGGCCATCCATGGGCCTGTGTGGAGCGGGCTGCTGGTGCTGCTGGGGTACCGCGAGAGAATCACCGGAATGCAATATCTGCTGAGGATGATGTACGTCGTCGAAGAGGGAGGGTCATGGAAGCGGTGTGTAGAGCTTGTTCACCTGCTGAGGAAGTGCCACTACCTCCCACGTCTACCCATCACGATAACGGCTCATGACCTGCGTCAAGTGGGCAGCAGTGCGCTGTTCAAGTCGAGATTTGAGGCAATGCGGCAGCTGTCGCTGTTCAGCGCTCGCTTTGGCCGTTCCGACCGCTCGTCGATCCCGTCTATTGTCGCCGACCACATCAACGTGCGAAGCCGCCAGGGATTCACTGAGGCCCTGGAGGGAATCCTGACACCCGGCATCTTGCCGGCCGACCTGCTCTCCGACAAGCTCAACGAATCCGACCCGCCGATCACATGTGAGACGACACCTGTATGCCGAGTGGCGTGACGGCACAGATGGCAATGCGTCGTTTGGCTGGTTGTTTGTGTGCAGACAAGAGGAACTTGGCCGCATCGTTCACTGACATGTGCTTCTACTCAATCTTCAAAGACATCAAAGCTACACATTTATTCGTCTACCGCGTAGCACCCCACGAAGTCATGACGCAGGCCGCCCACGAGCAGGTGATGGAGCAGCTTAATCAGCTCACCGTCCGGCTGGGCTCGATGTGGGGCGGTAGTCGTCTTGTGCACGTGTGGACGAAGCGCCGCGAGTGCACGACCGTGGTGGTTCTGTGTGGAGATAAGGCGATTGACGAGTTTGCTGCCTGGATGCGCGTGACAACGTTTTCCGACATGCACTCCCCCACAGGCTCATACACCTGCAACTTGGCGATCTTCACGATGGAGCCCCGCGTGGCGGGCAAACGGAGCGCGGCTCAGCGCTTCCCTCGCACGACGATGCTGGTGCGGGCGAAGGTGGACGCCATGAGGGAAGAGTAGCTCGACCTCTCGTACGCTGCCGCCGTCGACACACAGGTGGGCCCGAAGCACGCACACAACGCGGGGCTTCCGTGCCGTCAGAATTCCAATTGTGCAGGTCGCTTGCTGCAAGGCGCTGGGCTCTCTGTTGCCTGGTGACCCTCTGTCTCTGTCTGGGCTTGAGTGAGTCGTCGTGTGTGAAACGATGTGTTCGGGAGCTGGTGTGGTTCGGTTTTGGTGTGTCTCACAAGCTGCACAGTGACTTCTCTGCTTCTTCCACTTGACAGCTCGATCACGACATTTGCAGAGACTGCTCTATGTATGCTCACTGAGGCTGTCTGGCATTGGCGATGAGCTGAGGTGGGTGTGTGGCGGATCGATTAATTAGTTGGAGTGTCTGAGTGTCACTGACAGAACCTGTCTGTCCGATGCATCTTGAATGAAGAGAGAGCGCTCCGTGCCTTCCGCGACGTCTCATCACTCCTTCCATCCATCCATTCATCCATCCATCCATCCAATCACATGACAGCCGATCAACCATCCACGCATTCATTTCACCGGACAGACACCTCTCTCCCGCTATCTGCCTTCCAGCCAAACACACTCGATCACATGAGGTATAATGCATGGTGTCTCTTCCTGTGTGTATCAGTCGGTCCATCTGGCTACGCAAACGATACATACTGGGGCCCTTCCTGAGATGAGGTGAGTGCGGGACGGTGAGTGTCTCTCTCGTCCTTTCTCATCTCAGCTCATCTCATGTTATCTTGTCCTGTCCTGTCCTGTCTGCTCGTCCGTGTCTCTTCTGTCTGTATCTGTCGGTCTGTCTATCCGTCTGTTTTTCTGCCTGTCTGTCTCTCAGCCTGTCTACTGTTCCTCCACCGATCGCTTCTTGCCATGCCTGGACTCAGCACCACCACCACCGCTGAGCACACGGCATACAGACATAGCGAATATCGCATGGTGTGCCGCGTTGCTAGCTGCTCTCTTCACTTACCGGGCACTCCCGCCCTTATCGGCCTTCGACGACGCACTGCCCGATGCAGCAGCAGCTGAGGCAGCAGGTGCAGCCTTTGGGCGGAGAGGCGGGCAGGGGGGAGGCGGGTAGGGGGGAGGCGGTGGGAAGCGGGAGGACGCTGCATCTGACGCAGCAGCTGCAGCAGCTTCAAGGCCAGCTGATGAACGGCGACGGGGGTTGCCGGCGGGGAGGAGCGGCTTCCTCCCAGCATGCAGATCGTCCCTCTGCTGCTGCTCCTGGTTGTTGTCCCGCCCTCGCTCGTAGCCACGTGTGTTGATGTCGTATCGGAGTGATGTGTGGCTGCTGATGGGACGTCTCATGTCTTGGTCACGATTGTCCATGGGAGCGGGGCGGGAAGCAGTGTAGGCGTGTGAGAGGAACCGCGAGCTGGGCGTGTAGCACACAGACGGCGAACCGACGGGACGAGCGGTCCTGCACAGAGACGGAAGAAAACGAATCCATCGCGTCTCTGTGTGAAAGCAATGCATCGATATCTCCTTCCTCTCGGCCCACCTCTGTGCGCGCATGGCCGACAGGTGCTGCATCGTCATGGGCGAGTTGGCCGAAGGGCTATGGCCAGGACGACGATACTGAAGGGAAAGAGAGAACACACATAAGAAAGAGCTCTGTCTGTGTCTCGCCTGCTCAATCTTGTGGCTGGGCGTGTGTGAATACCGTCATCTGCTCAGTTTGAAGCCTGAATTGGTCTGAGTACAACGCGACGGACGGAGCAGCGGAACGCTTCGAGAGGCGGTCCATCTGTTCCATCGCTGAGCCGATCCGCTGGTCCATCAGATCGCCACGACCGGCGGTCTCTGACACACATACACACACACACACACACACAACAGAGGTGAGAATGGAGACAATGCCGCACACGCACTGTGTGGGTCGCTGTGTACCGTCCTGCAACACGGTAGTCAATGCTCGCTGAGCCACGCGCTCAGCACGAGCCATCGACACCTGCATCACATCAATCCCATCGCATCCAGCACACATCAACACACTGCCTGCCCCCACTCGCCCTTTTCTCGCCCACCTCTTCATCAGCACGTATCCCCATGGCCAGCAGACGCTTCGCACCCACACTGTCACCACCACCACCACCACCAGCCGCAGCCGCAGCTGCTGCGGGCACACCATTCTCGCCCGTGTCGGCCTCCTCTGGCTCGTCTTCAGGCTGTGGCGCCCACACACGGTGGATGGTGAGTGTCTGGGGTGCGAAGTGGAAGATCTTGCGGGCTGTGAGGTCCTTGTAGCAGCCAGTGAGGGTCAGGATGGCCTCCTCGGTGTCGGTGGGACTAGCGACCTCGGGCACCTCCTGACCGCACAGACAAATAGATAACAAGGGAGAGATGTGCGCTGCTGTGTTATGTATGTCAGCGGCGTGTGTGGTGTGTGTGTCACCATTTCGAGAAGGATTTGTCGCTCCTCATCGGCGACGCAGTCGGGGAGGGTGAGAGTGCCTATCTTGCCGCCAGGAGCGAGGCGGTGGTCGAAGTCAGAGTGGAAGGCCTTGATCGCCGAATTGTCAGCCTCAGTGGCCTGATATGCACGCAAGACCGAGACACACACAGCCAGCATGTCTGGCCGTGTCTGTCTGGTGTGGATGGCTGCAGGCCTTACCTTGAATTCCAGCACGATGTCCTGGTACTTGATGTACTTGGCAACCCCGAGGGCGCCGGCAAACGACTCACCCATCACGGACGGAGACTGAATCCATAGCAGCGGCCGGCAGTCCATCCGTGTGTCTCCACCCCCCCGGCTCCCTCCCTCCTCACTCACTTCGATGTATGTGAATGGCGTGTGGCAGAGCTCGGCATACCCGCCCAGCGTCACCGCATCGTGATCGGCACCAAACCCAAAGGGATACACAGCACCTGCAGATTTTAAAGCACAGAGGCCGAGATGCGTGTGTGTGAGATCCGTCCCTCCCTCCCTCCCTCCCTCACACCGATGACGTACATCGGTTGGCTGTGAAGCACGACTGCACCAGCTGGCGCGTCGTGGCAGGATCGTACCCGACGTTGTCCATCCCGTCCGTCAGCAGGAATGCCGCAGAGGTGGGGTTGCGCGTGCGGCGGGACTGCAGACACTGAATGGCGCTCTCCACGCCAGATCTGATGCACGTGCCGCTACGAGAATGCAGACGCATGACTGCCACGAACGGAGAGAGACAATGAAACATGGGGGCCGATGATGGGGCGATGTGGCGGTTTGTGTGTGTCTCGTGGGGATGTGTTTACTGCATGTGGTGGCGAGGCTCTTCTTGGCTTCCGTCATAATGGTGAAGGGCAACTCAACCCGTGCAGCACTCGAGAACGTAATCACACACAACCTGCAGACAACGCAACGAAACGCAAGACAACACAATACACGTTGGGAGTTGTGCCCCCCTCACCCCACACCATCCCATCTCCACCTACCGGTCTTTGTCTGTCAGCTGGGAGATGATGAAGCGCATCGCGTCCTGCACCGACCGCAGCTTGGCTCCCGACATTGACGCCGACACGTCCAGAATGGTCACGAGATCCAGACCGACGCCACCACCAAATTGGCCAAGCCCCCCAGACGCAGACACAGCACCACCACCACTGCTGGCAGCCGCCGCCACAGCAACAGCAGAAGCCGGAGACGGCTGTTAGTGTGAGAGGAGGGAGAGGAAAGAATGTGTGGTGTGTGGTGCCTGCCTTTGTATGTGATGTGTGGCATACTTTGTCGTTGGAGTTGGAGTTGGAGTTGGTAGTGCATGGCTCCTTGGCGACCTTGCACAGAACGAAGACCGCCATGGACTGGTCGATGGGCAGCGCCGAGAACTCCAGCTTGAGCGACACACCCAATGGACCTACCACACCAACACACACATGCACACAGAGACGCCACATCACCTCGCACATCACATTTTCCCCTCCACCATGTGTACCCACCGGCATCCGGTGTGGCATCGTCCTCGAATCCTTCCTGCGATTCCGGTATCTCATCGGCAGCGGCAGCCTCCTCACCCATGTGCACACCCACTCCTACATTATCCACCTCGCGACGCACGGCCCCCCAACCGGCGAGAGGAGCATTCCCATCCACACCCGCCTGTGCCATCCTGCGCTCCACTCGCTCGGGCCTCTGGACGGCCGGGCGGTTGCTGCCGTCGGCTGTGCTGGGCGGCATGGGCTGGAAGGTGGGCGGGATGGGTCGAACGATGGAGTTCTCGGCCACATGTAGAGATGAGAATGTGGCCGGACGGTCAACGAAGCCTGGTGCGATGGGAGGACGCACCGGAGGCATGGGAGGCCACTGGGGGCTGGATGTGTCTGAAGATGACACAGAAAGCGACATTTCCATCCATTCTGAGCAATGAACGTCCATCCATCCAAAGTGAAGTGCCTTACGAGGGAAGTGCTCGCCCTCCGGCTCGCTGCGATGACTGGGATGCATCTGATGCATTGGGGGCGGACGGAAGGGCCTCATCGCTCAGTCAGCGCCGATAATCATTCGGAAGCAACGATGAAACCGACGCTGTGAGCCTCTCTCAATGCAGAGTCAATGGCCCTCCCACATTCACTGTATCAGTGAGACCATCACTCACCGCAAACGCTCACATTTGAGAGAAAAATGCCCGCCTTTTGTCGATGGGACCCCACGCGAATGCGTGTCGTCGAACTGTTACGAGGGGGGAGGGGCCCCCGAGTAATGGGAGGCGATCGGCCAGACGGAGAGCATACGAAATTTCCGGGCAACAAATATACACATATTTTTCGAGAGTGATTTTTGCTCGCCTTGAGGTAGAGTGAGGTTGAGTACGTATTTTAGAAGCGCTGGACAAGAGGAGACGGCAGAGATTTCGGCGGAATTCACGTGTGGTGCACGGAAACGATCTTTGTTCCAAGTTTATCGTTCTGTTTGCTGAGTGCATGGGGCGACCGCTGAGGAACAGGAAGGCTGCAATTACAAAGGCTTCGACGAGAGGAGCAATGCAATCCCCCCCC